CGTTGCTGGGGGCCGCGGCCGCGTTGGCGCTGGGCCCCAGGCTGCCCGCGCCGGGCCCGACCCCCGGCGGGCAAGACGCGCGCCCGCTGCCGCCCGCCGCCATCTTGTCGCTGCGGCGCGGGGGCGGGGCCTCGGAGGGCGTGGTCGTTGGGGGCGGGGCATCCGGGAGGAGGATGGGAGGGGCGGAGCTAAAGAGAGACGCGACCCGAGAGGAGCGAGGGGAGGAGACAAAGCGGGAGGAGCCGATGGCGGACGGAAAGGAGGGAGGAAGGGCAAGGCTAGGAAGGGGTGGGGCAGGCAGAGGAACCAGGGAGGAGGATAGATAAGGAGAGGAGGGGAGGGAGGGCAGAGGAGGAGAACGTGAGGGAAAAGCGACTGTGAGCACGGAGAGGAGGGAAGGGAGGATGGGCGTGGCGGGGCTAGGCCCAGGATTGGAGAGACAAGGAAGAGGAGGGCCCTGAATTGCCAGGGGAGGAAGGAGAGAGAAAGCCAGAGGGAAAAGGGATGGAGGGGAATGGGAGGGAGAAATGGATACGGGGGCAGAGGAGGGCAACAGGAGGCATTGGATGGGAGGCAAGAGAAGGACGTGGTAATAGGAGAAGCAGAGACAGGAGCTAGGGGAGGTAGTCGGGGCCATGGAGGTGCAGGCTCTCTCTGGATTGGAGCGAGGACAGGAGGGGTTGGATGAGGAGAGGCAGGGAAGGCATGGAGAGGTGAAGGGCAGACAACGGAGAGAAGCACGGAAAGACAGGAGGCGGAGGGGAGGGAAAGAGGGAGTAAGGAGGGGGGCAGAGGTAGAACTAGGATGATGAGGGGCAGGGCTTCCAGGTTAGTGGAGCCTGGGGAGGAGAAATGGGAGATGGGGAGGAGTAGGAGGAGGGAGCTGAGTCCAAAGGGGAGGGAGAGGAAGGGCCAGGAAGAGGGACCAGGGAAAGAAGCCAAAGGAAGCCGAGAGAAAGGAAGAAGGGGAAGGGCCTATGAGTAGTGAACCAGTGGAGAGGGGCACACAGAGGAGGGAGGGGAGAGGAGAAAGGAACAGTTGGTAGGACTCAGGGAAAGAAGGCAGGGAGGAGGAGGAGGAGGAGGAGGAGATCGCACGTGGCGGGGGAAGAGGGCGGGACTTGAGGTGAGGGGGGCGTGGCATATTTGGGCAATCCGGGCTAGAGGGCGGGACCACAGGGTAGCCGGTCTAGTTGGAAGCTGATAGAGGAATATGGATGGAGGGAATAAGGAAAAATGAAGATGGTGGATGCGGAAAGGGTAGGAGGAACGGAGAAGAGCAGAAGGAACTGAGGATGCTGAGGCTCAGGCCCTTGATCCTACCCACACAATGCTCCTGAACCCCAGGACCTAGCCAATCCTGTCTCCCGGCCAAGGCTGTAAGATGTTAAGAGTCGGCCGGGTGGTGGTGGCGCACGCCTTTAATCCAAGCACTCAGGAGGCAGAGGCAGGCGGATTTCTGAGTTTGAGGCTAGCCTGGTCTACAGAGTGGGTTCCAGGACAGCCAGGGCTACACAGAGAAACCTTGTCTCGAAAAAACCAAGAGAAAGAAAGAAAGAAAGAAAGAAAGAAAGAAAGAAAGAAAGAAAGAAAGAAAGAAAGAAAGAAAGAAAGAAAATGAAACCACATGTCAATAAATATGCATTGGCCATCCCCAGACATGTGAGGCCAGTGAGGGGCTTGTACATAGGTATACCCCCAAAGGTATAAACATGGAGCACTGCAGCTCTAAACTGTGGACTGGGATATAGCCCCAGAACCACTGCTATCTAAGGAAGGGCTGCTGGGCATGCAGAAACCATCAGGAACCCCTCCATGCCCCTGAGCAGGCTCCAGTGGACAGAGTTAGCTGTGGACATTGAAGATGAGTACCCTGGGCAGTCCCTGTGTGGGGCACCCTTGCTTTCACAGACTAGGAAGATAGTTTAGCATTGCAATTTCTCAGAAGCAGAGGAAAGGTAGATGCCACGCTCCAAACTCTATGGTCTGTCCTCTGTAGCCCATAGCAACCATGGAGGTAACCCTTGGAATTCTCTGTCAAAGAATGGATCTGGGTATGGTGGACAGCACCTGTCATCCCAGCACTGGGGAGGCTGAAGCAGGAGGATCACAAATTCAAAGGTGAAGGAGGCTGCTCAGGGAGGCAGAAGGGGGGAGAGAGGAGGGAGAGCTAAATTTCCACAGTATAACTAACACCAGCTGATTGGCTCAGGCCTGAGTCTCATGAATCTCATCTAGAAACAGATTCAGCAGAGAAATCAATAAAAAAAACGGGCTGGCCCTCACCACATGCCCCCAGCGAAGACAGAATCCCAGCGTGAGGACAACTCATCCAAACAGGTTTCAACAGCCTGGATCATGCCTTGCCTGCAGGCCATGACAACTCAGGGCCTTTTGTCCTGACAGCTAATAAATGTCTTTACTGTTCTGGGCAAGTCCGCTCCATTTTTCTCTTATTTGTAGCCAAAGGCTGGGAGTTGAGGCACCTCTCCTAGGTAGCCATCTTTAAACATATGCCATTAGGGACTTTGCTCTTGAAGTGCTTATGGAACGACTGACCGTGACTGATTGGATCACTGGGATAGTCAGGGGTGTCACAGCCACTTAGCAATGGGTAGCGAAGGATTGTAAACTGAATGTCCTGATACATATGTGGTGGCAGCATTAGACTCATGTTTGTAAGTTCTGCCCAGAGTGTGGTGATGCACGCCTTTAGTCCCAGCACGCAGAGGCAGAGGCAGAGAGGCAGAGAGGCAGAGAGGCAGAGAGGCAGAGAGGCA